CTGCTGCGACTTTTTTGGTGGTGCTTTTGAAAATTAACCAACATCCAAATGGATCCTTGCATCTACATGTACATGTATGAAGTGACATGAAACATTCTTGAAACGAAGAAAATGACTTGATAACAACTCACCCCTTTCTGACCTTCCTGAATTCATCGCTCCGCCAGCCACAAGTACAACCAATGTAACATTGATGCAGCCCACCAACCTGCGCTGTGTTCCCTTATGGCCACCAGCACGGGCAGCGAAGTGGAGCAGGTGCATGCTGACCTCATCTGGTTCCCAGACTTCCGTCGATGGCCGCATGATGAGGGTAGACTGCTGTGCTAGGCACTCCTGGAGTTCTAAAAAGCAATCAGAAAATGAAAGGAATTACATGTATACATGTTTTGAAAATGCAGTATGCAATCACAATCAACTGTAAACCTTGTCAACACAATTTAGAATTTTTTTACTTTCATTATAAAGACACAACATATACATGTAACACTATTAAAGATTTATATTTGAAATGCATGTACATTGTAATTTGGCAGTTTCCCATAAATCCAGATGGTAAATATACAAACCAGGAAGGCAATTTGTCAGTGTTCAAGCTTTTCTATCTGCTCACTTCAAATCAAACACCAGGTACATTTTGGGGTACATATGTACATGTGTAAATGTACATGTCTTTTTATTTCCTCCATGATGCACTACAAAAATGTGCTGGCTTTTTGGATGCTACTTTTTCACTATTGAAGACCTGGCTGGGTCTTATTATGTAAAAAGCCATAGACCAGAAGAAAGGGCATTGCTCAAGCATTATCTGTAAGCAGCTTGACAGCCCTCATTAGCCATGCAGGTCAAATTTGAATTTGAGTAGTGGAAGAGGTCACTGGACATGCTCAATTCTGCCAGCAAAGCCCTACTTTTGCTGTTGACAGCATTTTGCAACTGTGAATACTGTGAGGTGCTGATTACTACATCAAAAAAAATTTTGGCAGGTTGGGTGGTGGGCGAGTGAGTGAGGAAGTTGGAGTGAAAAGGAAAAAGTTACAAAAAAAAAAAGGGACAGAAAAAGAAACAAAAAAATCTGAACGCAAGCAAAAATTACCTTTCTGGGAGGATGAAAAACATCTACAGAACAGAAATTTTACCTTATTCCAAAAAATGAAACCTTCAATAAAATCACATAGTATTTAATTTAAATAAAGCACGGGTTTTTCGGACCAACTTTTCGGACCAAGTTTTTTGATTTCAGATTTCCAAAATGAAAATGTGGATGAAGAGAAATACATATACTCTACTGTTATGATCACAGTACAAATACTATAAATTTTCAATTCTCTTAGCTGCGTTAACTTTTGTTGTTTTAGGGGCTTTTACAATGTGCACATAAGATGGAAAGCTCTCACTACAGTTCAAGACCAAGACAGTTATATGAACACAACAGATCCACACAAAATGTTTGGTATAGAGGGATTTCACATTAGCTCCATCTGCGCATATCCGCATCGAAAGCGAGGCTCTCTGTGTTGAACTTCATCAAGCGTGCCCGCGGAATCGACACAGTACATGCAGAATCCAGTTCGTAAGTGTGGCGCCACTTCAGTTTAAACCACGCCCACTGCACAAGATACACGACCATCGCAGGTATGTTAGCTCGCGGTAAATTGCCGTTATTTTTCTTTTGATTTTACGTGTCGAGTCATCTTGAAAGACTCTTCCACCAAAATTTGCAGCCTGAAAAGTCTGAATTTAACATATCTTTATGTATTTTGTGTCTTGACACCTTACTTTCAATCGTCTGATCGTATTAAGAATTGAAGCTAACACATACAGCCTCATTTTCAAATGCAGAAATGCGCAGATCGACGCTAAAAGCATCGTATTGGGATCCCTCTATAGCAATTTTCTTTCTCTTATGCACCTATTCCCAGCTTGTACTGGTTCAAATGTGTGGAGGTCTGCCTTACCGTACGTGTCTGCATCAGGATTTGGGGAAGTTGAAAATAAATACATGAAACACCGTAATTGTTGCACTTGTCCACGTTATATTCTTTTTCCAATTTGCATATGTATTCAATGCCGGTTTCCATGGATACTGTACATGTACTTATTCACAGTGTTTGTTTATGTCCCATGTACTGACGAAAGATACTGGCTACACTCTATGTATGTGCTGGCTGTTTGGGAAGATTTTCCTTAACTCTCAAGTTATTATCATCAGTCTTAAATATATTTCTTTCAGACGTATCTGAAGCAAATTTTCAAAATTGTGCGCAAAATTTGAGAGCAAAGGGAAATGTTCAGGAAACAAGACGGTTCAGCAGAGCACTTCACGTTTGTTATAGTGGCACTGTAATGTACCTGGACCAGGAACCTATTTTAGGAACCAGCAAGTCTCAACTTCAGAGAGCCAGACTGGTGGAATGGTACCCACCTCAGGCTCAGAATGACCTGGGTTTGAATCCCACCTAGTTCGATACGAGGAGTGAAGCAAGGAGTCAAAACAAATACACACCAAAAAGAAAAAAAAAGACGTTGAAATTGGCCAGAAAAACTTGTGCTGTTAACCACTTGCTGCCAGGTGGAATTTTAAGTTGCATGATGTAAAACTGGGAAATTTTCAAGATTTTCTGTTTTCAAAATTCTTCAAAAAATCATAACTTCATTTACCAGACGTTTAAACCCACACGAATGACTGGTGGCTACTCTAATCTAACAGAGGACATCGATTGCCACAAACAGTGGTACATGTACATGTATAATCTTTCAAAATAATGACAAATTTCCTCCTCTGTTGACAACTGAAAATTTGTTGGTAATTCCCAGCAGCTCGGCCTTTTGTTCCGAGTATGGTCTTTTGTTGTAAAGCCTTGCTCTTTTATCCAATTTCGGGCTCCCCGGTTTTGTGTATAAACCTATGTGCCTGAAACCGGGCTCCCCAGCAGGAAGTGGTTAATTGAATGAAAAATCTTACCATTTTTGAAGTCCAAGAACTCTTGTTCATAGTGGAGAGGGTATCCCTTCTGCAGGCATCCAAGAAGAACAGTGTCTCCCATCAACCTGAGGGAGAATCCAAGAAACAATCATAATAATTAATTTTGTTGTGGACGAAACATAAGCTTTCCTGTGGCTTGTGCTGCACTTCATGGATCTGTCCACAGCATACACACTTCACAAAGTATAGGCTTTCAAAGAACCTACCCTAATAAATCTGTAATTTGGGGCGCAATATAGTGACATGACACTCAGACTTTGAAATGTTATGGCAGAAAACTGTTATTAGGTACATGTACTGAAAAGGCTTCAAACATTTCGACATCTAGGGTTTGGGAGATTAGCTATACCAAAACCAATTTACAATGAATTCATTGGCTGAAAATAAACACAAGAGAAATAAGAGGCATTTTCTTTCCACACAACTACCGGGTAACTAGGGCGATTTCAGAAACATGCAAGGTCAGATTTGTGTCTGTGTTAAGTTGGTTGGATGACATAACCGGGAATACCCACAACAGTCATACATGAAGATACATCCAAGCTGGCGTAGTTACGCCCAACAGGCATTGAAACGAGGAGTTTTGATGACATGCAGAACATACATTAGAAATACATGTAATCTTTAACATGCACGATTCTAAAATCTTACTCTTAGTTGGACACAATAATTGTCAGATTTGTTCTGAAAACAGTATGAGTCATTGAAGCTGGAGTGGAACGTAACATATTTGCTTCGCATACATATGCATGTGTTTGTATACTTGTGTTCAGATTCAGTGGCAATAGACTACGAGTATGTATTCATACACGGCAGAGAATAACTCGGTCAGTGTAGAAGATTCAGACCTGTATCAGATGGTCATTCAAGTGTATGTGTGTATGTACATATGTATGAAGCGTCTAGAAAAAAGACAACAACCCACATGCCTGCCTGTTTGCCTTGTGATCTGCAACTGTCAAAGTATCACAGAAAAAGTGACAAATACATACTGAGTTCTTACAGAGAAAGTGAGTGGATTCGATGCCTATGACACAAACTGCATGTACATGTATAGTTTACTCATCGATGAATGAGGATGACGGCACAGAAACTGTTACAGTTTGTAGTGCCAAACCTGGTGGTGGCCCAGCAACACAGCACTGAGACCAGAGACGGCAGGTGTAACACAAAACAAACAGTCGGGGAGATTTTGTAAGTGAACACTGCCGAAGGACCCTAACTGCGACCTGAACATATGCGCAGTGAATTCCATTTTGGTTCACTTTATGATCGAATGATCACGGCACATAGACTTTGTGTGGATGTCTGTGCACTTCTGTCGAAGTGGTTTTCACTAAAACTTTTTAAAGCATGCGTCTAGAGTCAGGTTTGAAGGATACAAGAAGCAACATCCAAGAACAAATGGTAGATGTGAGATTGGTCGTATCCTTGTGGGATAACGGACTTGGCAGAGAGGAGCATTAGGTCCTAGGACAGGAGGCAAGTCAAGCAAGGAGCAGAGTGACTTGTGACTATTTGCTCAACATCCAATAATGACAGCGGCATTATTGTAGAGCACAGTGAAAGTGCCTGCTATTCTTTGTGGTCATTCTGTCAGAGTAATTTAGCATTGATACATGTATGCTCGTACATTCCCTTCCAGTCTCCTTGTAC